CAACGCAGAGCTTAGAATAGCGTAGAGTAGTTCACAACGTCATCGAGTACCTTAGACCGTCTAGAGTCCAGTCGTTGTAGCTCAGAAAGTATAATCGACGTCTACTGACAATGTCCAGTCTACCTACGGGGGCAGTGCGCAAAACGTTTGTTGCTATACGTTGTAAGCGCACACTGCCCCCGAATGGCGCGTGGTACCGGCGCTGGCCCGGTAACGTGCGATGGTACCCACACTGCTCCGGTACCGTGCTCGGTTCCGGCGCTGCGCAGTAACATGCGACAGTACCCGCGCAGGCGCGTGGACCCGGTACCGCGCACGGTACAGGTGCTGGCATGCAGACCCGGAACCACGTGCAACGGTTCAACTTCTAAGAGAAAACGATCAGCAGACGATCAGGACGGTCGCGGAGTGTAAAATCGGAGGGCCTGGATCGTCTGCTTGTCACAGGCCGAAAATTAGCGATAGTTATATATGTAGGGACATTGCTTACGCTAGGATGTTCATGTTGCTTTCAGGCACATGCTCTCCATTCAGTTCCCTCCTCTCTTTGGTTGCCAACCACCTGACAGTGTCTCCTTTGTTGTGTATACACATGTATGCTTCGCCGTGCGGATTATTGAATCCCGCTTTTTTTTATTATAGAATTCTGTTCCTCGTGTTCCATTTGGAATCGAACTCAGGTCTGCATTTCAACAGTTTATGGGTGGACCAATCCCATGTTATCTGCATCGAAGATGTTTTTTCTTTGTGGTGTTTTCGCCGAACGTCTCCCCCCTCTTTGTCTTGTTTGTTGCAATGCCTCTGTGACCGTGCACCTGGGTATCCAGGCTGCAATGGGCACAGTTTGTGAAGATGGTTCTCTTTTTGTGGTGTTTTCGCCCCGGATGTCTCCCCGTACTCATCTTCTATTTGTTATGATTGCTCTTTGACAGTGTACCTGGCCATCGAGGCCGCAATGGCTATGGTCTGTGGACCCTTTACCCATGTTGTGTGGTGTTCCGGGTGTTTTGTCCTCGAGGGATTAACCCTTCCTATTGTTTAAAAAATCTTATTTTTGTGTGTGTCATTTTCAGGGCCACCCATCTTGTTCGTGCAGCGGCATTCATCTCGTTTCCATTCGCGGGGTACCTCTCTCCTGCACAACCTGCACAGAAGCTAGAGCATTTTACCGCATTGTTTGGACCACTATCTATTCCGTTCTACCTACCTATTTGCCGCCCTCTATCCTCGCTCAGTGGGAAGAGCATGACCTTTGTTGGTGGTACTTGGAACTGGATCTGAGAGAGGGAGGCCAAAAGAGGAAAGATGAAAGGAACAAAATCCATATCCGAGAAGGATTAGGAAATGGACATTTGGGGGTTGGGGAGGAGGGGGTGAAGCATTTGGATGGATTTGAAAAGGTAGGAAATCCAGATCTGATACGGAGAAGGTTAGCATGGCTGTGCGGTGTGTTTTTTTTTAACAACTAAAAGTAGTACTGTGCTGTGGAGTGTGATAACGTGCCAAGATGCAGTACTTTGTTCATCGAATGCAGCGCAGGACAACCGAAGTACTCGTGCTCTCGATCAGAAGTCATCACGCATTCAGCACGGTGTAGTGCACCAGTAGTAAGCAATTTTTTAACAAAGAGGATCGACATCAGGGAGAGGTAATGGAGGATAGAGAAAGTAGACGTTGATGCAGGTTTCAACCACCAGTACATCCGGAAAAGGAGACTGAGCCTCTCCTAAAAAGCAGGAGGCCATGAACTGCCGATTCATTTTATGGACGGTCCATGGCCTGCAAAATTTTAGGAGAGGCTCAATCTGCTCTTCTGCTTTTTCAGATGTACTGGTGGTTTAAGGAAGCAAAAGAAGAGCGGAACTGGCGGCGTTCACACACCTGTTTTTCAGCCTTCGCCAGCATCACAACCGAAGTACTCGCCTTCGCGTGTGGAAATCATCACCAATCACGACCCGCGCATTCAGCACGACATAGCGCACCAGTAGTAAGCAAATACAAAGGGGATCATCAGGGGGAGGTAATGGAGGATTCAGAAAGACGTTGATGCAGGAGCAAAAATGAAGAGCGGATTGGGGGGTGTCCGTCCGCACACCACGTTTCAGCCTTTGCCAGCAGGAAGGCCTAATCAGAGGACATTAGTGCCTGATGAATGCATGCTCTCATTTCAACCGATGCATACGAACGGAACTATTTGCATTCTGCACCAAGAGATATCAACGCGTGCCACCAGTTACGGTTCGTCGTCGTGTTGTGCAACAATCCGGAAAAATAGCGGGACTGCTGCACTCGTTCCCCTGCAGATACTGACCCGGCCGCTTCCGCTCGTAAAACCAATGTACTGCACAAACATCAGTCTGAATAGTCTAGAAAGGTAGTGGATGCTAGAAAGTTGAAGTGCGACAAAAGGATGACGTCCACTCCACACTTCCCTGCACATGACAAGATGGCTTACAGTGCCGAAATCCCGGATATCCAGGGAAGGTGTCAGGGTCATGTCGGGAAAATTGACGATCTGATTTTGGAGTCGGTCAAGCAAAACACCCGAGAAGAGAGAGAGAGAGAGAGAGAGAGAGAGAGAGAGAGAGAGAGAGAGAGAGAGAAAACATGACTCGGAAAAAGAATAGGCGGGATGTCTGGAGAGTGTGACAAAGTAGGAGGCCAGCTGGGAGGAGGAAGAAAGTTTTGCAGTATAAATGCAGATGCGTGTCAAGCATCCATAATGTGACAGGTAAGGGATAGTGAAGAAAGATAATCGATCCATGCTAGTCGGGCGGCGGGAAATTCTGCGCCATATCCTGAGGCTAACTATTCAGTTTCCGTCATCGTCTATTTTGGGTCTTAATTTCATAAACCACGTTTACTTCCGGGCCACTTTCTCACTTTCTTCTGGGGCTCCAAACGCCATGCGCGGCAAGCTTTGTGAGCCACCAGTGCGCCCTTTTTTTTTCTTTTTTTTCTTTTGGCTGGTACCGCCAGCCATTGTGATCGGGTAGCCCCAAAGCCCGCTTTACGCGGCGCACCTTAACGTCGTCAAGGTCCCGCGGCCGACCGATGTAGGAGTGAAGTACTGGTGGTTTAACGGTGGTGGATCGAGACCCGACCCGGCCGCGGCGGTTGCTAATTTTGTGAAGCCTTTCTCTCTTCGAAAATTTGGGACGGATTGTCCCAGCTGCCTTTATTTTTGTGGGACCCCTCAAGGAGTGCTTTCTGAAACAGTTACACAGGGAGGCCTTTTCGATTTCTGCGTGTCATCCTTGCACAGGGGCCATATTGCTAATCTTCTCTTTCTCTGTATCGTTCGAATTTTAACGGATGTGTCCCGAAGGACCAGGGAGCCCTTTTAATCCGAGTTCCCGTCGGTTAGCATGGCCCCTGCACACAAAGATGACACACGAATCCTTCTGAGATAAGGGTGTTTTTGGTTCTTTTTCTTCGGGAATAATAATTGGGAACATTTCTCGATCTATGCGCGCCATCCTTATGCAGGGGCCATCCTAATCTTCTTTCTCTGTATCGTTCCAGTTTTAATGGATGTCCCGAATGACTTCGAGATATAGATTTAATAATTCCTTCCCGATGAAGATTTTACCAATCAAAAAAAAAAAAAAAAAAAAAAAAGTTTACCAATCCGTCTTCGGGTTTAGGGTTTTCCTTTTTTGAAGTTCTTTTGTTTAAAAATAAGAAGGAAATCCATATCTGAGAAGGATTAAGGGCATTGCCACACGGCTCTCGAAATATGCAAAATGAGAATGAACTTCCCGCTAGAACATGGCCAGATGCACCCACCACAATTTTGCAAGGGACCTGACTGTCAACACTTGCCAGAGTGTAACACAATGCATGCCACTTCACCATTCACACAGATTATGACTCCACACACAACGCAGAATGGGGATGAGATGAGAACCAAGTCGCGCAGCTCACATTATCCCAAACACGTTATAAAGAGTATCTTGAGTTCATGAATCCAGCACTTAACAATCATGATATGTTCCTCTCTCGAACATCAGCTCAATGGGGCCTGGCTGAGCCAGCGCAACCTCTTACAGCAACCAACGAGCACAGAACAGGTAAGTAATCACCATAGCCAACTCGTCAACCTGTCCTTCCCCTCCCTCTCTCTCTCTTTCCCTCTCAAGATCTCGAACATTCAAATCTTGATACAGTAATTCTCCATAATAATAAATCTCTTGCCTGAACAGACATGACCTGCGCACCCCCTGGACGAACAGATGTGACTCCCAAAACCAAATATTGCAGCTGTTCGTACAGGGCACAGCAGTTACTGTGACCTTTGACATTGGCTTTTACTTAGCTAGGATGTGACTTTTCACCCAGAGAACATGTCCTTTGATATGCTTTCACGAGTTGGGCCCTGGCGAGTGACCCCTCTATGCTGCTTTTGCAGAACAGGGTCTGAATCGGGTAAAGGCCCTTTTATTTTTTTCTTTTTCACATTTTGAGAGTGATGCGGCTATTCAAGACTCGTTGGGGACGCTGCMCCCGCTTTCCAGCAGGTGATGCTTCCCACCAATAGATGGAGCCCCCCCCCCCCCGCCCCCGGCGCTAGCAGTGTCTGCTCTTATCAGCACCACTAGCACGGGATGGTGTTCTCCAAAACAAAAAAGCAAAAAAAAAAAGCGGACTCGTTGGAGCTTGACGTTTATCTTGGTCACTATTGGCTGCGTAGGGCATACTCACACTGGGGCTTTTTTTTGTACGAAGCTCTGGACGTGATTTTGGTCAGATTCGTCGGGTCTTTCCATGATTGCAACCAGATGCATTAAGGAAAGTCCTTGTGTGAGTACGCCCTTAGCTTTCTAGGACAATAGTATTGAGGGAACACGCAATAAATGAAGACTAAAATAGCTAAATCCACAGCTCCTGTTGTTATTACATAATTAATAATTATCAATCAAACTGAATTAATCATCATTTTAATAATTTATTATTATGTGTATTCATTGTGCCGGGGCCGGGATCTGGTCTGGATGCAGGAACGTGTGAAGGCAGAGGCGGAAGGCAGGCCACCACCTGCTCGACAGCCGGGATCAACGCCCTTCATTCGGTCATTAACCATGGAAGACATGAAGCAAGCTATGGAAAAGGTGAGACTTGGCCTCACTCTGTTTTTCTGTGTATTGGGCTCACTCTGTTTTTGTGTGTAGTGGGCTCACTCTGTTTTTGTGTGTATTCTAAGACAGTCAACATGTTGTGGAAATGTAAATCGAGGGGCTGAGACTCTGTTGGTGCTATGTTCACACTTGGAAAACAGGAAACTGGCTGCGATAGCGGCCAGGTGCATGATTTTATGGCATGACCATAGCAGCACCAATGGGGTGTGGCGCTGAGACACGGGGATGTCTTTTGGATAGGTTGATAGTGTACTAAAGCGTTCGCAAGGGTAACGGTATGCTTGCTCAAGGCCGGAGAGTCGGAGACTCTACTCCATGGGTGCTGTATTCACACTTAGAAAACAGGAAACTGGCTGCAGTAGCGGCCAGGTGCATGATTTTTATGGCATGACCATAGCAGCACCAATGGGGTGTGGCACTGAGATTCAGGGATGTCGTTCGAATGTTGACAGCGTAGTAAGCGTTTGCAAGTGCAACGGCATGTGTGCGTGCACGAGGACTTCCCTGGCGAAATCTGTTGGTGTGACCGGTCGCGGAGATTGCTGGATCTGTTTTGAATGTCGATATCATTAACAAAAATAAAAATGAAAAATGTCGGTATCATATAGTATGTGTTTGAAAGCGCCAGGGTGTATTGAACCGCAACGTTTCTTGATTGAATCTGTGATATGATCAGCGGCTGT